ATATAGTTTCATTAATAGTTATGTATTTAGAAATACTGTGTGCATTATGAAGAGTAAAATAAATAAATAAATAAATGCTTATTTTATAAGTGAAGTGAAGGATGTTAGTTATAGTGACGGATGAGCAGTGATAAGAAAGTGGACGACGAGACTAGAAGAGACAAATGCGTTTTAAATAATCGGTAAAGAACGAAGCAACAAGGTCATTCACAATTAAAAAGTTAAGGTAAGTCGCACCGGTCATTACCCTCCCCATAATCTTATTGGTCAATGCCCTCGTACGGGGCGGTTCATTTATGATGTTCAATTGGTTAATTGGTGCAGAAGACATTAAAGGGGCGGGTGCGACGGTAACAACCGGTGTGTCGTGCTGTTGCGCTTTGCTGTTCTCCTATTATCATAATAGTAATTATTATTATCACTATTATCATCGTTATTATTAGTGCTGTTGTTTTTATTGTCGTTGCATAACCGTACTTCGTTCACTGCACGATAAACCAGGCAAAGGTAAAATATGCGATCGCAGGTATTCTTATTGAAGCAAGTTCTTTATTATCACTGGCAAACTATTTTTAGCCTTTATACGGTCATTAGGATTAATAATCTCATGACAGTTATCACCATTGTAGTAACTCTTGTAGTTATCGCTGTTGTGATTCTAGTTATTAGTCTCGCTGTTATTGAATGTTTTGTAATTGTTGTCATTATAACGATGAGTACTAAGATAGTGCCTCAAATGAATGCACACGACTGATAATTATATCGGTCTGTTTAAAGTATTTCATAAAGTGTGATGATCGTCAATATGACCATCAGAAAGCGATCGCTTCGTTGGTGTTGCATTTCTCTTTGGTTATCTGGCTGTATGAGTGATCTGTAACGTCATAAAGCTAGGTTACCAAAGCTAAGAGCAATATCACATATTCTTTTATCATTAAATCCTTATCCATCCCTAATTTGCCCTCTAAATTTTATTCATTCAACATCACTTCATTTTTAAACCAATTAATCGAACCATTGTTATTCCATGCTTCATTCTTGTTGGTATTCCTCTCGAAATGTGCATCCCTGTATGAAATTATTTGTATCATTCACTCGACTGCATCACCGCATTATCTTGATCTGCATATGTATCGATTCGACAATATCAAACTGTCATGGTTATTCATTATTTTCATTCGTTTCACCATTGCGTATGCTTTTGCGATTTCATTTATGTGTATGTACGATTTTGTTTCTTCAGCGTGTCTATAGTTTTAATCATTCTTATTGAGGATCATCTTTTCAGTTCATTGATTTTGTTTAACAATGAGAATTTGAGTATGCGAATTATCGTCATTTGCAGGAATTTTACTGCTTATGTTTGGAAGCAATAACTTTTTATGGGATTGAAGTGAATGAGAATTGCATATATACATACATATCGTGATAACACTTTTGTTCACGATCGTACGAGATTAATTCACAAACAATGTCGTAAGAGGTTGGTCAGATTTTTGATGAGGTTTTGGCTGAAGTTCACAGCTAAGCTCAAGAAGTGAGGGCCGATGCTTGCATCTGGGTATATGAATGATGCAACCCTAATTATTCAAAAGACTTGACAACGTCAAAAGAGATGAAGTAAAAGTTTGTGAAATATTTTAATATAATAGAAATAGATTTGCTGAGTGCAACGAATTCAACGATGTCTCACAGCCAATTTCAACGATGTCTCCTCACAAGTGCATTCACCAAATCGCAGAACATGAGTCGATTGTTTGAGCCTCAATTAATCGTTTCATTTTTTATTTCATTATCGTTTTATTGTTTAGATTCATCATACCCTTAGTGTTTCATAGCATCATCCAAAATGTAATCATGCAAATAATGAGTGATCTATGAACTTTATAAATGGTAATCCCAATGAGGAGGTTGCTTGCTATGGTTGTTTAGTAGTGGCTCGAGTACCGTTTTCTTTAAACCTTAAAGTTGTTCATCTTCAGTTTGCATTTTCACAATATTCCTAATCGTCATACGGTACTCCGTTTAAATTACTATTACTATTCATTATTACTGTCATTATCACTATTGTTACTGTTATTTTTATTGTTAATATTATTATTGTCATTATTATTATTGTTATTATTATTATTATTATTATTATTATTATTTTTAGTAGTAGTAGTAGTACTAATATTATCAGAATTATCATTGGCAATGTTTCTGTAATCACTACTACTATCAGTTCCATTATTACTGTACTCACCTTTATTATAATAGTAATATTATCATAGATACTATTACTGTACTCACCATTATTATTGTTAATATGAATAAATCATTAATAAGCACAATAATTGATATTCAAATTAGCTTCATAGCTATCACTACGGTAATTTTTATCAAAAGTTATTTGTAATACAATTATTGCTGATAATATTATCATTCATAAGTGCTAATCTCAGTAACTGAAGTAAGGTAATGAATGAAGTGAATACATTTTAAAATGAACGTAACCCACCATAATTCAAGAAGTGTTTACACTTACATAGCGAATAAATAATTTCACTAAAAACCAGACAACGTTTGAAAAAAAAGCGTTTTGCACAGAAAGTTGCATTGTAATGTGATGGTATGTGTGCTCTGATGGGCTGATGAGTGTGTGATTATATCGACGAGCTCATAAAATACAATAATAATAATAATACAATACTCATGTGTTTTGCTCAATTCAATCAATCAACTAGTTAACGAAACTAATCAACTAATGCCTTCTTTTCCCTTTTCTTAATGTGATGTACAAAAACAGATTTCGTTGATGCTGCTTCACATCATCACGAATACTACACATGCATTCAACTACTTTTTTCATTCCTATTTCATGCCTCAATCAACCCAACGCCTACACCATAACCTGACAATATTCACCCACACCTCCTCCTTTTCAAATATGCGATCAACTGAACCTCTCCACAAGCGATCATATATCTTTGAATTTTTCATCCCGTTCATCAGATGGGTAAACGGCTATTGTATAATCACATCGCTTCAGGCTTTATTCGCCTAACTTTGACATCTGAGTGACGCTAATATAGAAATATTTGCGCATAATGAGCAACGGGTTGCGCAATTCTTTCTTTGGCTTCTCTGCTGATACTTTTTATGGGATAATGTATAAGACTAATCTTTCATTATACTACGTATGCATTGATAGTAAGATGGTGGCTCAAGATGAACTCAATCAAGGCGATATACAATAATAGGAGTTGTTTAGCAAGGTGTTACCTAAGTCATGCATGTAAAACAAGTGGGCAAGTAAATTTAGGATCAACTTTATAGACCTAAATAATTAAATGAGGGAGTGTTAGTATCAGTTAAAATTTGATTTAATTTGATCAAATGTGAATGAAATAAAAGAAAGATAAAGTATTGGGCAACAACAATAATAATGATAATCATAACAATAATGATGACGATCATTAGTTGATTTCGATGGAATAACCCATCAACTATTCAAGAAATAAATATGCTGTGTAATATTTGATGTCGGTTTCATTTAAAATACCCATTTTTCAACATCAAAACTACAATGCTCTTCTTCAAATTTCTTCTCATCTCTTCCATACCAATAACTGTCATCAATATTATTGTCAGCCACTATTTTCTTAGATTGAATTTCATCCAACTCATTCATCATGAGGATCGACCACTCATTCATTAATATAATTTCCATACAAATTCATTCATCAGAACTGGTATCGGAATAACACCGAATACTGTTACAGTAAAACTTGTAATTGATGAGCAAAGAGTAAACTAATGAAGATGAGATAATGAATAACTGACTAAATAAATGAATGATCGATGGCATGAATGATTTAAGAGCGATAAAATGTCCGAGAAGATCTTGCTGATACCATCATGCATTCGAAGTGTATCTCATTATACTTATCGCTGCTACCTTCAAACAAATCGCTATCGATCTCGATTGTATATGTATATGATTTTAGTCTGCTGCCCTGTAATCGACCCTTTCAATAATCTATGATTTTATTAGTCTTTAATCATACCTTATTGAAATCACAACTCATAATGCATAATATATCTTCACTTATAGACGATACTCACCGTATTATATTATATCATAACCCTATTTCGAGTGATCATTCTCGATCGGTGAGCATTAAACAACACCAACATCAATAATAACTTTGTCAAGGTCTTTAAGCGACCTGTATACAGTCTTTTCTGATCAGATAAGCAACATTCGTTCACTTTCATCTCTTATGAACAATTTTTGCTTTTTTTTGAAAGGATGGCGGGAAGTGAAAGATCAAAAAGTTGTACTCAGATCGAATATGAAGCGTATCCCACTCTCGAAAGCAGATATTCGGAATCATATTTTGAAAATTCTGAACATTTTTTCGCGATAAATTCTGATGTGAATGGATCAAAGTATCTATAGTCTTGAATGGAAACTGATATGAGGCCAATGAGATTGTAATAAAGTGTTACCATCATTCGAGTTAATCACGTCTATCTGGTAGTGAAACAGACGTCTCCAAAGCACGGCTCATGGGATAATTTGTTTGCCTGCTAAGAAATTGTAGGTTAAAATTTTCTAAGACGTGTAGATCTTTTACGTTTGATTTCATAAAAGAAAAAAGGGTTCATTAATAAGAACGAAAGGATTCGCAACATTAGAATGATTTTGCAACGGCAAAATAGCAACGACAATAATGGAACATCTCAAATAAATCAAAAAGTCGAATGCGGTTGTTCGATTTGCTTCGGTTTGAAATACAAGAGCGTCGTGGATCTCATGTACTATCGTATAGCAGTTTCTATGATCCAATTCAGCGGTAATATAAATTCATTTGGCCAAAGATACGACTGTTTTTTCGGCAGTTTAATGTTTGATAAATGACAGGAGTTTCCGAGATCTCCTAATTGAAGTGGCGTTTATTACCAGTTTAAGAGGACAACTGGTTACATGAAGGCTCTTCATAACAGTTTAAGGAAGCGTAAACAGGACTGTCAAAAAGCATGTTTGTAAATAGCTCGAATCGATCGAATGAAGTTTGCAAGAGATGTTCCTGTGTTGGAAATAAATTGTGAGTCTTGCCTCCACATTTGAAACAGTGATGCATGTCATGAATAGTTGATCTGCAAAGATCCATCAATTTCAACATCTCACCCATAAAGTTTATAACCTGAAGTCAAATCGTGACGGCGGATAAATTCTGTTGCTCTACAGCTGCACTTAAATATGTCTTTGTGTGCAACAAAAGAGATTTTTTAAAATCAATCAGCGCCAAAAATGAGGATCTACACTACATGGAATTTATTTAATCACAATTACAACTCATTTGTTTATAAAGTATTATAAATACTTCTCAAAATATTCATTTTAAATTTGTTCAGACATACTTCAAAAAAAAAACTGTAGAACACATTCAACTGTCGAAACAATACCACAATGCAACAATCAGGTAAATGACAGTTGAAATAACAGCAGTCGACCATGACTTTTCGCTTTCAAGTGGAACTGCTGCGGCCCCACTCATATGATCAATTAAGGAATGCGGATACAATCAGGTAACATAACATGTATGCATAATAAGTTTTCAGTTCATTGAAGTTGTGCAGTTTATGGATAACTGCCACTGCATATAGAATGTTGCAAATGTGTGGGCATAAAGCAGCGATGTTTGGCCGATGAAGGCTGATGAAATTCGTTCGGATTTCGACCGGAAATCATGGAAGTTGAATACCAAATTTAGAAATTCCAAAAAATCAGTTCTGTCGGATTCCTACCAACAACTTTGAAATTCGATTGAATACTGAATAATTGGGATTTCAAAATGTGGAATTGACCGGATTCCGACGAAACCAAATATCGTTCGGTTACCATCATCAGCATATAGTGCAGAAATGTGCTGAAGTGCGATTCGTCGAAACTGCATATGAAGTCATTCCTTCATCCAGCCATTCAAGTTGCTGTAATAAATGTTCCTTAAAGTTCGGGTATTCGGGAAATCATATGAGCAATTTTTTTTAAATAGCAAAATATTTTCAAAGTGTGGACATGGGCAGAGAAAATGATTAGGTTTCCTGTATGGTCACGTTTCAGGGATTAGTTAAGGAGTTCATGGGTGATCCTACCCGTTTGACCACTATTTGTCGAAACTTCTGAGGCTCACTGTACACCTCAATGAAGTAAGGTCAATCTATGATAAAAATGATATCGATATATGTCATATTTTCATAGATATCCGTAAACTTGACGATTAATTTGTATCGCTTGTTAGCTGGTCTGTTTTGTCGATTCACGCAATTGAGTGTATTAAGTGGCAATATGTCAACGTATCGCAACTTTTTCTCCTTCAACCACACACGCGGAGATGTCGGTCCGTAATGTCGATTCATGCAATTTCATTTACTGTCCGTAGAAATTTGCCTAGAGAGGCGAAGCCATGGTATACCATTGTTGATATTGGTGTAACGTGTGGTAATGTCACAGTTTTATAATGTGGCGCGGATTCGAGAAGTTTTCGTGAAACGTTACGCTTATTATTCGAAAATTTTTTCATCATCTATTTTTTTTCGTTTGAAACCAATGATTGCCTTTCAGATGCCTCTTATAAAACGTGCCATTTCACCTGTCAATGTGAGTTTGCATCGTTTACCAGCATCGGTGCAAACAGACGAGTTGGAATGCGTTGCTAATGGTACACTAGCGAATTTGGTACGACAATTGAGCTCGTTGAGCAGACATGCTGAACATATTTTTGGTGAAATTTATCATGAAGCTGTCAAGGTTGATCACAAAACGAATACAATGGCTCAACGCATTGATCGGTTAACACATAAAGTAACACAGCTTGACTGTAGTCAAGAACAGGGTGAGAGTGTTGAGACATTCAGCTTCAAATAATACGAAGTTTTGCTCCGCTCATCAACGAATAGTTTACAGTCTCGTTGGAAGATTTGCACATGCGTAAGCCATTCAAGAGTAGCGCACTGATTGATCAGCATACACTCGATCGTCAAACTTTACCATCTGCATTGAGTGAGTGCTATGCAGCATGTGATCAACCACCGAATCTGGACGCGTTAAATCCTTATCGGGATGATAAAAAGGGCGCATTGAAGTGAGCATACCTATAACACTTTTTTCTTGATGATGCTCTAATATATAATCAAGTTTAGAGCTTGTGACCTCAAAAATGTCATTCATCTCTGCTTCTAACTGCAGTGCAGTACATGTTGAAGGAGACAGAAATTTATGATTTCTTCAGCACGAGATTCCACTTCAAAAAGTAAAGATTACCAGTCTAATTTCCTAATATATGCAGATATTATACGGATCCGTCGTATTTTTTCGACCTTTGGCGTCAAGAAATGTTGAAAGAGATGGGTGATGGACGACGAGCAAAAGCTGTTAAATCACCAACCGATAATAAGAGTCCATCTAGAAAGAAACGTAATAGGCAATCAGCAAGCAACGATATGATGCGGCAAGCACCTCTCTCATCAAGGTTCTCTGAATCATTTTTGTGACACAATATAGGTTGAAAAATGAAACATTCAAGCTGTAGAACAGAAGTGGATATGACCCACGGACTCATTGCTATGACGCACGAATATAATCTAATTGTTAAGATATGTAACAGCAACTCAGCAACGTACTACAGACGTGATGCATTTTCCTGCTGAATATCAAGCACCACAGATCGTACGAATGGAACAAATTCAGGCACCGGTTGGTATGAGTGTGCCAATCAGTAATGGTTATACATCTTTGCACAGTACAGTTATTACTTCCCCAGCGCTCAATACAGCCTCATCTACCGTCATGGTATACTGCTTCCTTATGTACTCTTTAATTGTTATAGATGATAATTGATTTGAATTTAGTTCACTCGTACTCTTTTATAGAATTTTCTAACTAAGTAGTATCAAGATTATATTTTTTTTACGCTGATGGAGGGTGATAATGACTCATAAGTCGTGTTTTCGTTTGAAATCCCAGTAGCTCTAGGTAACCAAATAAACATTTGTGAAAAAAAAAATTGCGAACGTAACATTATGTTTCGAATTGGCTCTAGTAAAGCTGATAGAAATGCATGGTTAGTATGAAGGTGATAAACGAATTATAAAAGTGCATTTGATGTGTGCAGTAATAAGCCATATAATCAAAGGATGCAATGAACGAATCACGAGCAGTGAGTGATCAGTTATCACGCATGCAATTGGAAGTAGAATCGGGCAGTAGTGCGACTACAGCGGTGAACTTGCTGGATGTGAATGTGGACGTTGACGATGACGATGAACTGCCGCCACCGCCTCCTCCGCTGATGCATACATCGTTGGTTTGTCAGATGCCAACGCCAACCACCATGCAACTCGTACCGCCATCTCAACAAACGTTATCATCAACTGCCAACGCCACTCCACCAACTGCCACTGCTGCATCCAATCAACCGCAATCTCAACAACAAACTAACGTTCAGACGGTATCCTCATCGAATACAGTCGTTGTTGGTTCATTTGCAAACAATGCCAATGCTGTCATCACTAGCGCAGCTACCGAGGCGGTCAACACTAAAACTACAGATGACGACGATAGAACGTCTTCTTCCGAGCAACAAATGACTCGTTCGAATTTATTAGCCGAAATTCAATCCGGCATCAAGCTTAAACAAGTTTGTTGCATTTCTTCTTCGTTGCTTCAATGGCATTATATTTGTGCGTAAAAGTTTATTAACGCGCTCATTCATTTATTTGTTTGTACTCGCTCGTTAATCCGTTTATTTAAGGTTCAACGCAAAGAGCAAGCGGCTGAAGAGAAGGCGGCTGCAGAAGCGAATGATGTGGCTGCAATCCTCAGAAGACGTATGGAACACGTGCTTGGTAATTCAGATACAGATTCGGATTCACAGTCAGATGATGATGAAGAGTGGGATTAAGAATAATCGCTATTTGAATTGTTTTGTAACATGTCTGATAATGATCATTGTTTCATCATTTCGAAACAAAAACGATTAAACAGAAACTTCTCCATATTCGTTTTGTCTTTAACTATTTTTTTGTCTCTTCTTTTATTACATTCGTTGTGAAATGTTTGATTTGATTCCATCTTTTGAAGATCAATTTGGATTGATTTTTGTTTCTTTCTTGATATATTTCCAATTTGCATGTGTTTCTTGATATCTTTCAATGTTAAAAAGGTTTTATTCTGAAATTAATAAATAAATAGTTCAGTTGATGTTTCTAAAGGTCCATTTTGCATGTAGTTAGAGAAATTACGTTACGTTTATGGATTGCTTGTTCGATTCACGGTCACTGCTTATGAACGAGCACATTCGAACATTATCAGCAGTATGGAGAACGACAATGAGTTTTTGCTTGGCTTGCTCGGGTGTTCCTCTCCTCCAAAACATAAGGATACGTTAGTCAAATCTGTCTTCGAACACTTAATTGAGAAGGTGCAGGGTCAGCTGATGTCGAAACTTCTTGCATATATTGAGTATCATTTACTAGTGTTTAGTTACTAGGACATTTTATTCATTCATATATGGCTGGCTTATTTTGATTTTCATTCGTCACTTCGATTACTTAATCATGTTTGGTTTCGTTCAAGTGGAACAACGGAAAGTTTTGAAATGTTTCATGTATCTGAAATAAAAGTGAAAATTTTGCTGAAGCTTGTAAACAGCTTCATAAAAACTGTTATTCATATTCGTACGGTCAGTACCAAGTGCTCATCCGCTATATTTCATCGAATCTCAAATCGAAAACTCACGATTCACTGTTTTTTGCGTTGATGCCTAATCAGTGATTAAGTAACAATTAATAAATTCCTGATATCAATTGATCAGTTTATATAATTCAGTTTTTCGTATTGCGTATATATTTAAATCATTTCTCGACTGGTACTGATCAAATCACTCATAACAAATCATAGCTCTTGATCTATTCTCAATTCTTAACCGGTTTATATAAACTGATTAAGAATCGAAAATAGATGTGGAAGAATAGAACATTCTCTAATCTTCAATCAGTTACAGAGATGAGTCGAGAATTAATAATAAGCAGTTTGAATGCTCTCAAGAAATCAGTCTCGCGTTCATTCACACAAACGCTAACTCATGAAAATGCTATACGTTGTGTAAAACGAATTGAACGGGTCAGCTCTTATTTTTTCAAGTTTCATTTCATGTTTCAAATCGTCTCTCGTTGCTCAGAATCAATCATTGATCTTGTCAAATAAAGACTATCTGAGAGAATCAAACAACCGAGCAAGTTAAGCTCAAAGATATCATTATGAAAACAACTTCAGCTATTCGATTATACAATAGTTGGTGGTAAATGCTTAAGAAGTAGTTTAATAGTGAATGCATATAATGCATTAGATCGGCATGCGTCACGTCAAAGACTGCAACAGGTGACGAATGTAGCATCTTGCATTGAAATACTGCAAGCGTCATTCTTGATATTTGATGACCTAATGGACGAAAGCAGTATGAGAAGGGGTAAAGCATGTTGGCACTGTCTGGTTAGTTTGTTGCACATTCGTTTTTTGTTCATATTCACTTCTCGCCTACTTTCCAAATGCGCATATGAGCAATACATGGAATGTCACACTCCCTGTTTCACGTAACAATATTAATAATACAAATTCATTCAAATGTAGCCTGATATTGGTCTAAGTGGAATAAATGATGGTCTCATTTTGGAATGTGCAATAGTTCATTTATTGAACGAATCACTTCTAAATCATCCAAATAAAGACAAAATTCTCAATGCTTTCGCACGTGTAAGTTTTTTGCTTCTATTAGAACGTTTGTGTTTCATTCATTTGAATGCAGTTTTTTTTGTTTTCTGTCTTAATAGAATTCACATTCAAAATAGTTTTTCATGCATTGGTGACATCGATTGCTACTGATATCTTGAGATATTTTATGCAGCAAAAAGCCAATAAAGATGATCAATCCAGAATATCTTAATAGTTCAGTTCAATCGAATATCAGTAATTCCTTCTTCAAAACAAATTCATTTGTATTTTTTAAGGTTAAACAAATCACTACAATGGGTCAGATGTTAGATAGTAGTTCCAATGGTATGGAGGATTTGAAGTGGGAAAGGCAAGCAGCAATTATGTTATGATATGATGAATATACATTTTCACAAATTAATCACAAGTTCAAGAGCTTGGTTTTATAGAGGGAAACTGAGCGCGATGAATAAGAGCAAAATCAGTTTCATCATCAGCATTTTCAAATTGCAATCGCATTATCCAATTTTCATTTGTTCACAATTTTCATTTGGGCGATAGTGCGTTATTCCGTCATTGCGCTACTAATGGAATGATGGAGCTGCTTTTTTTCGGTAGTGTGCCCATCAGTGGTGTTGTCATACTGAATAACTGTACATCATTTTAATTCAGTAATTTCCTCACCGTACTATCTATCGAAAAAAATCGTTTTTATTAAACTGTAACCTCAATCAATCAATATTCGTTCATTATGTCTTCAATTAGTTAGAATCAATATGATGGAAAATTTCGTTTCTTCAAAATCAGTGGCTGAGAAAATTCAAATCATCTGATTAGAAAATTTTCAGGTATAATGATATTGTGAAACACAAAACGAGCTATTACACTTGTTACGCTCCTTTGAAAATAGCAATGCTCCTAGCAGATCGTACTCTTTTTATTGATCAATGTAAAGATATGGCTCTTAAAATAGGTTACTTGTTTCAAGCACAGGTTAGCTATCGTCATTCGAAAATTATCACAATTGCATCGCTTCTAATCAATTACTCAATCCACTCATTGGTTTACTTTTCAATCAGTTCGAGACTGGCACATTTACTGAATTAGCGAATCGATGAAATTATCATTCGAATCGATCGTTGACAGTCATTGAATGCACAGTACTTTATTTAACAATTCTTTAAACGATTACTAAGGACGATTATTTGGACTGTTTTGGCGATGTGTCAGAAATGGGCAAAGTTGGAACTGATTTACGCGACGGCAAATGCACATGGATAACATGTAAAGTTGCTGAAATGCTGAAAGATCAACCGCAGAATAAGCGAACATTTGAGGTATAGATGCATATTTTATCGAACTCACTGAAACATAACACTGCAGCTGGGGAGTGCGCCTTACGCAAATCTTATCCAGTGCAAAAAATATAGTGGTTCTTTGGAGCTTTATCTGAAGTTGAGATAATATTTCGCTCTATAATCAGTTCAACAACCATCCTCTTCATATTACATTCGCACACATGACGAACTATCAAATTGTTCTAAGAAAATACAACGGACCACCCATCGCGTAATGCATCTAAATTGTTTCATGTCAGTGGACTTGCACACCGAAAACGCATGCACTCTCCACCTTTCCTTATGCCTTCTCTTGATGTGTTTCTGTAAAGCACCCAGCTCTATGCAAGTAATACGTAATCGCAAAAGTATATGTAGATCATTCGTCTATGAACGATTCATAAGTTTTGACGAAATGTTTCAGGAGAACTTTGGGAAAGCATCGAACGAATGCGAAGAAAAACTGAAATCGTTACTGCATGAATTGAAAGTGAAACATGAATTCGCACAGTTTGAGGAAGATTACTCGCGCTCACTGCTAAACGACATCGATTGTTTCGAAATAATCGAGCTGAGGAGTGTCCTTCGACAATCATTTAGTTCACTGATCAAACGAAGGAAGTAAGTGAGCGCTTGATTCGTTCCCTATCCGCTCCGGTCACCAAAAACAGATCTGGCACCGTATATTAATTATTTCTATGGAAGAAACAATTAATTAACGAGCGAATTATCAAATGTTGTCTGTACCGCTTCTGTTGCTGCTTATTTTTATGGTCACGAATATTGTCGTCACTTGATGCACATGAAGAGTTACATCAATTCGCTCAAACTTTATATATTTATAGCTATATTCTTGTATTTATATTAATTGCCCAAACTATATATATATA